TGGATGACCAAACTGAAAAGGACGGGGGCTGGGAGAAGATGATGAGTAAGAAAGATAAGCTCATGGATAAGCAGTTTGCAAAAGATCCTAGTGAAATCACCTGGGATATTGTAAACAAGAAGTTTAAAGAACTTGTTGCTGCCCGGGGAAGGAGGGGAACTGGAAGGTTTGAGCTGGTTGAGCAGCTAACTTTCCTGACAAAGGTTGCTAAGACCCCTGCACAGAAGTTGGAGATTCTATTTAATGTGGTCTCTGCCCAGTTTGATGTGAGTCCAGGTCTCAGCGGGCACATGCCAATCAATGTCTGGAAAAATTGTGTTCAGAACATGCTTATTATTCTTGACATTCTTGAACAGTATCCTAGCATTGTAGTGGATGACACAGTTGAGCCTGATGAGAATGAAACCCAAAAAGGAGTAGACCATAATGGTCCAATTCGGATTTGGGGAAACTTGGTGGCTTTTCTTGAGAGGATAGATACTGAGTTCTTCAAGAGTTTGCAGTGCATCGACCCACATACGCATGAGTACGTTGAGAGACTGCAGGATGAACCAATGTTTTTAGTTCTTGCTCAGAATGCCCAAGAATATTTAGAGCATGTTGGAGACCTTAAATCTGCAGAAAAGGTTGTTTTGAAACGAGTTGAGCTGATCTATTACAAACCACAAGAGGTTTATGATGCCATGAGAAAGTTGGTTGAACAAACAGAAGATGGAGGCAATGGTGAGGAGCCCAAGGTTGAGGGAAGTAGGGGTTCCTCTGCATTTGTTGTTACTCCTGAGCTTGTGCCTCGAAAGCCTACCTTTCCTGAGAATATCAGAACGATGATGGATGCTTTAGTCTCCCTTATTTACAAATCTGGAGATGAGCGGACCAAAGCTCGTGCTATGCTCTGTGATATCTACCATCATGCTCTCCTGGATGAGTTCTCAACCTCCCGTGACCTGTTATTGATGAGTCACCAGCAAGATAATATTCAGCACATGGACATTTCAAGCCAGATACTTTTTAACAGGGCTATGGCACAGCTTGGTTTGTGTGCATTCCGTGCTGGGATGATCACTGAAGCACATGGCTGCCTTTTTGAGTTATATTCTGGTGGGAGGGTGAAAGAGTTGCTTGCACAAGGTGTTTCACAAAGTCGATATCATGAGAAGACTCAAGAACAGGTGCTGCTCTTCTTCTTATTTTCTAATGATTATTTTTTGTCATACTTGCCGTGCTTAAGGAGTTGCTTTTGTTATTTCTGTGGAGACTGTAAAGCTAAGTTGTAGTTTGTCTCATAATTCAAGCTGAGTGAAGGACAGTTTACTTGTCTCGAGAGCCTCATGATTTTGCTTGGATAAGCAGTCAACAAAAGCTGCTAGGGCTGATTTTGTTTCTGGACATTTAGCTCATTGTTTTGAGTTGAATGCTGAGGGCTATGCTTACAGTCTAGGCACCAGATTTAATCACTTGTCATGTACTTCAGCTTATATGCCAAGTTTTGATTTTTATGTGTTCATCATGTTTTTTTTTTAATTTTTTTTTAACTCTTATATCTTGTATCCTAGTTAAAACAGGTTCTAGATTAGTTGCTGACAATGATGTTTATTCAGACTTATTATTTGCTGACAATGATGTGCAAATGTTGTGTATCGTGATTTGATTTTTCACCCATCCATTTCTTTGCAAGTATAAGTGTTTATTTCTTGTGATATTGCATGTAATTCTTGAAGAGGTGGTCCATTTTTTGTCATACATACATTTTCACAAATCAACTGTCCTAGGTTAATCATTGTGAATGTTTCTTCACAATAATTATGGTGATAATTATGATGGAGAAAATACCACTGGACTTTGTAACTTCATTTTTTGTGACAAGTGGTCATATCTATATATTCAGTTGCAGTTGATTTTAGATGCATGTATGTGCATATATATTCAGTTGATTTTAGATGCATGTATGAGTAGATATTCAGTGCTGTCAATGCCCTTGTTAGTGTATGTAACTAGAGCAAGCATTTGGTCTTTTATCGCAATCCAGTATATATTCCACCTTTCATATCTCATCTTGAATAAAATTTTAAAAGCTCATGGATTATGAAAAAAATAAGACCTATGAATTGCTGTTGAGCATGAATTTGTTGCTCTACTTTTGTTTGAGGTTGTTAGCTTCAGTGAATAAACTTAAAGTCTTGGATATATCATTTTTTACACAGCTTTTTTCTTGGGTAAACGCTGCTCTTAGATTTATATCTTTTGTATTTGATCATTTGTCCAAGGACACCTAATCACTGGCGCAATTAATTGATTTAAACAGGAAAGACTGGAAAGGAGACGTCAGATGCCATATCATATGCACATAAATCTTGAGCTTCTAGAGTCTGTTCATCTAATTTGTGCACTGCTGCTGGAGGTCCCGAACATGGCAGCCAACATTTATGATGCTAAGCACAAAGTCATTAGCAAGACATTTAGGCGGTTGCTCGAGGTAACTGAGAGGCAAACTTTCACTGGTCCTCCTGAAAATGTCAGGGATCATGTAATGGCTGCTACACGGGCCCTTACCAAAGGAGACTTCCAGAAGGCCTTTGATGTTATCAACTCTCTTGATGTCTGGAAGCTCCTCAGAGATAGAGATGGTGTTCTTGAAATGCTCAAAGCCAAGATAAAGGAAGAAGCTCTGAGGACCTACCTCTTTTCCTACTCTTCCTCCTATGATTCAGTGGGCTTGGACCTTCTGAGCAAAATGTTTGACCTTTCACCAATCCAGACTCAGATCATTGTAAGCAAAATGATGATCAATGAGGAGCTCCATGCAAGTTGGGATCAGCCATCACAGTGCATTGTCTTCTATGACATTGAGCGCACACGGTTGCAGGCACTGGCATTCCAGCTGACAGAGAAGCTGCCAATCCTTGTTGAAAGTAATGAAAGAGCAATAGAGACTAGGATTGGTGGTAGTGGTCTGGATTTGCCTCAGAGGCGGAGAGAAGGCCAGGATTTCGCTAATGCGGCTGCCTCAGGTAGTAAGTGGCAAGAAGACTCATCTTTCATTCAGGGAAGGCCAGGTTATAGCCGTTCTGGATATAGTGGTGGTGGAAGACCCCAGGACCTAGGCCAGGTTGTTGGGGGTGGCCATTCGAGGGGGGCTGGTCATTTACGAGCAGGTGGTGGATATTATGGAGGCTCAAGGTATCAGGATGGTTCATTCCGCATGGTTAATCTCCAAAGGGCAGCTCGTGCTTGAAGAAATTTTGCTAGAAACCCCTGGATAGAGATTACAACAACCAATTTTCTGCTTTTCTAAGTGCTCTTGATATTGATAGGAACCTTATTTGGAATCGAGTAGTAAACTAGGAAGTTTGTTTTGTTGTTTCCATTTCTTGTCAAACACTCTTCGTTATCAGAACTCTTCTTTGTTGAAATCTCGATCTAAATAATGAACTCCATCACAGTCATCCTGTTTCTAGCTGCTTTTGCTTGCACTTAGTTGTGACTGTCTGTCTGTTTACTAAGAAGAAATGAAGTAGAGGAATTAAATGGTGAATGAATAATCCGTGCTGTATGCTAACCCTCTGGTATTTTTCACTTTCACCAGCAGTATTGATTTCCAGTTATCAAATAATATACAATGCATGTCATGCACTCATTCCACGTGGGTGCTATTTAGAATAAATAAATAAATTAAAAGGGTTAATGCCTCGCAGTCCACACATCTCTCTGTTACTTTCCTTGCAGGATTGTGGTTTATATGGAGGCATAATTATTCTAACCTATGAGCAGCTACCTAGTAGTTGATTGTCATGCAGCCTGGGAAACTACTGATAATAGTTGTAATGTCACTGCTCCGATTTTTGGCAACGTCCAGAGTCAGATGCAGTTAAGTTGGATGCGGACGGAAGCTCTCTTTGAAACCCAGGACGAATTGGTTTTGGTGGTCTCGTCAAGAATCGGGAGGATAAATGGCTAATAAGTTTCTCAGGTTCTGCAGGTTACAGTCGGTACAAACCTTCTTCCAGAACTATTAGCCCTTAAACATGGCTAGCTGGTTGCTTGGAATCAAGATTACAGTAAAATTGTTTGTAATTTAGATTGCTTGGAAGCATTAGACCTAGTGCATGATAATCATACTCAGTTCCATCGCCTCGGGCAGTTATCATGGATATCAGAAATATTTTAGCCACAGATTTGGAGGTTTCTATCTATCATAAGTTAAATGAAGCTACCTCCTGTGCTTATTTCTTAGCCAAGATGGGAGCTGAACAGATGATTGAGTTTTTTATTCGGAATTCTCCTTCCCCATAGATTTCTTGTTTACTTAATAGTTATCTCAAGGGAGGCTAGTTTTCTTCTTCTTTTTTTCTTTTTTTTTTCATTACACTGTACCCAAAAAAAATACCCGCACCGTGAAATTTTTATTGAGGCATAATTTGATCCCTAAAATTTCTTAAGAAATGTAAAAGGAGAGTTGAGAAAGGAAGCCAGTGAGGATTTCAAGTTGAAAAAATGGTAAGGAAACAAAGCGACGGATCAGAAAGTTATTTTATGTTTAAAACATATTTTTTAAAAAAAAAAATAACTTCAAAACACTATAGTTACTGATTAAAAAAAATTCGAAACTCGTTATTTTATGTAATGTTGTAGAAGAGTATTAAAAGAAAATAAAGTAAAAGACACTTCCTTTATCATATTTTAAAATATCAAATCTCAAATGGGAAAACATTAAAAGAAGAAATGGAAATTTTAGTAACATACATACTAAATTCATGGTTAATCAGTGACATGATCAGCCTGATTGTTTTTTTTATTTTAAAATATTTTGAAAAAGTTAGATTTTTATTTTTTATAAATTTTTTTGTATTTTTAAATTATTTAAAAAATAAAAAAATATTATTTAAATATATTTTTGAACAAAATAATATTTAATATACATAATGTGGACCAATTAAACAAGAGACGCAATAAAACTATGAATCCCTAAATGAAAGTTGAAACACGTTCTAATGGAAATTATATCCTTGAATTTGGTTGTATAAAAAGTTGTTTAATCTATTATTTTGAGATTCATTAATTTTTTTTATGGTGATCATATGTGTCTTCTTCATAGTACATTGATTGTCTTCTCAATTCATATTACCTGATGTCTCAAGCTTCTGACAGAAATTGGCATAGAACTAACAATACGAACACACTAGTATCTGTTATAGATGGATTAGATTGGATCAAGACGGATTTTGAAGCTTTTCTGGTCTGAAAGTTCGCAGCTGACAAGGGTTATGGGCAGAAATATGAGCCCTCCCTAGAAGCCTCGGTGCTTTCCTCAACCTGACACCGAATCACTACTATCCTTCTCTGCCTGATCTGGCCTTCGAAACTCATGTGTGACGTTGATTCCATGTAAAGAACTACCTTTAAGTACACCAAGTGCATCTAACCTCGAGTCCCTGTCTTTAATATAACTCGATAATTTGTCTTGAATATCTAAAGAAATAATATCTTTTTCCCTGAGTAGATTTATGAAGCCCTCTGCATTATCCATGTCTCCGGAGTCTTTCAAGTGCTGCAAACAGGCAACCCAACTTACAGTGCTGGGTCTGCTCCTTGGTCCAGATAAGACTATCATTTCCTTCATTGCTTCCACTGCCTTTGGAGTTTGATTATGCTGTAGATACCCTTTTGCCAATAAATACCATGTATTTGCATTAGGTTTTGTACCATTTGATATTGCCCTCTGCAGAAGCATTTCAGCCTTCTCCAAATGACCTTTCCTAGAATAAGCATCTACAAGGAAGTTTGGAATGGTGATGTCATCACATAACTTTTGGGATTCCCACTCCTCAAAAATCTTCTCTGCGCTTTCAAGGTCATCAAACTTCAACAGAGAGGTTATGACACTAATATTTTTCCGATTCCTAACATACTTCTTGTGAAGTTCCCAAACCCTCAAGACATCTTCTTTTGTCCCAGTTGTGGCATATTGTGTCATAAGGTAATCATATGGTGTACTTCGTCTTTCTCCAGTAATAAGTCTCTCGCATCTCTTCAGCATTTCCAGAGCTTTGTCCAAAAGCCCAACTTTTGAATAGCCATTTGCCACAGTAGCATAAGTGGCCCAGTCCAAAACAACATTGGGATCAGATTCTATCCTTGTTAGAGTCTTCTCCATTCCCTCAATGTCAGAAGCAGCTGCATATGAACTTAGACGTATGCAAAACGCAAATTTATCAAAAGAAATACCATTTTCCTCCATTTCTCGCATCAGAGGGTCAAGTTTCTCAGTGTTCCCGGTCTTGTAATAAAGGTTAAGCATGACTGTGAAAACTAAGGGTTTTCTGGCAAAACCCAATTCCCTCATTCTCTGCATCACAGCCTCTGCTTTTTCCACAGATTTTACGTAGGCATAGCAGTTGAGAAGTGCACCATAACTCTCAAGTCCTTTTAATTTTGTTGGAATGTTATTGAAATAGTTCTCTACTTGTTCTATCCCATGAACTTTCGAGATCAAGTCCAGCCGCACTGCAACAGCACGTGATGTCAGAGCAAGATATCTTTTGTCAGTCATCCACATCGAAATCTGGGAAAAAATAGTAAGATCCACAAATTAGTAGTAACCCGCATTATAAAATCATAATATCATTAAAAATAAAGATAACATCCAAAATATCATCATTTATCTAACATACATTAGAATTTATAACATGAATATATTGTTACGTAAGAGAAGCAGAGATGAAGGACAACAAAGAAGCGGTGTCAGAATCCCACATCATCACATGGATATAGAATGTCGGGCATGACAATGCAATTAATTATGAAGTACATTAACTTCAAAGCCTTGCACTACTTGTGTGAATTGGCACAATAATGTTATTCAATGACCATTAGCATGCTGGCTGAAAGCTCATTTATGGCAGAGTTTTCCTGAACATACAACGGCTACAAACATAAAATCAAGGGGAATATACTAATTTCATTTCTAAATTTTAAAAGGTCACGCTCTCAAATCACAAGAATATAAAAATAAGAGAAAGATCATATGGCAAGAGAAATTCCTACCATAAATAACAAAAAGTAATCCAAACTTAATTGGACAAAAAATAATTTGAAATTTATGTTAAGGAGTTTATAACAATACATCAGGATAAGCTGATTCTGGTTTACCCGAAGAACTCATGTGGTGCAACTTAGATGTAGCTTTGATCATAATGAGAACAATACTTCTTTTGAAAAGAAGAAGAAGAAGAAGAAGAAGATATTAGTAAAAGGAGGAATTTGTAATAGCATTTTTCTCTCATGGGATAGTAAAATAAAAGTAGACACAGAATTGCTTCTCTGAAAATCAGATAAAGTGATGACACTAAAAGCTCCAGTAGAAACCTACTATTTATTTGTGTAAAACCATTTAATAGAAGTGTAGAAATGGGCTTCATGACAATGCTATAAAGAAGTTTCTAAGTCATCATCTGTTATTGAAAACATTTGAAAAAAAAATGGCAATACTACAAACAAATTATCTACCTCATAATTCACTTCCTGATAATATTGGAGAAAATCAAAATTTGGGATTTCGTCACTTCATATATATATATATATATATATTGGATTTCTTAACTTCTGGTTACCCCTTAATTTGAGTAAAAAACTTGGAGTAACTAGTAAGCGAGTAACTTTAAGTTTTGAGACCTAAATGGAGTCAAGCTTCATAAAAAAAAAAAATCCAATTTACTTGGCAAACATGAAACAACATAAGCATCCTAAAAGCAAAACAGTCATCACTAATCCAGAAAGGAAAAAACACTAAAAAAATTATTTTAAATAGTTGCTTAATTCAGGAGACCCAAAATGTTATCCCAACAAACAAAAGCAAACCCTTTTCATATCATAAAAAATTATGTGAACCCAAAAAAAAGTTCTCAATCAAATTCATTTCTTTACACTTCAAAGATTCCAACTTTACAAAAAGAAAAGTTCAAAAAAATTTATGGGATTAAATACCTCAAGGGCATGATGATAACGCCTGTAATGACGTAACTCCTTGATTAGGGCATGGATTAAATCTTCCCAAATAGTTTCTCCTTCTTGAATCCATTTGTCGAGAACTGGAATCACTGAGACATTGTGGTCTCTGATTCTTGAAAGACGACGTGACAGTCGAGTGAAGGGGCCTTTCCACGGTGGCTCTCTAGATCTTGGGTTTTGTATTTTTGAGTAAAAAAATCGAATGCCCACTACGTTTTTGGGATTCAAGCGACTGATAGTAGAGGATATATAGGCTAATCGAAGGAGATTCATTTGCTGCAAAGAATAGCAATAGTAACTGTGAATTTGAGAAGAAGGGTTCAAGGAGGGTTTTAAAGAAGATAGTGGGCTAGTGATTTTGGCCCAACTTGAATGTTACAGTTACAAATGAATATGGGTATACTTGAGATTATAAAAAAAAAAAAAAAATGTTTTTTTAATATATTAAAAAATTTATTTTAATATTAAAACATCAAAATAATCTAAAAATATTTTAAAAATTAATTTAAAATTTAAAAATTTAAAAAACACAATTTAACAGGAATATCTTATATGTCTACAAAATAATAATAATTAAAAAAAATCAAATCATACAAACTGGCCCGCGTTAGTCATTTTCCTACCTCAATTTTTGAGATATATATATAGCTTGGGCTACAGTAAATGGACTTCCCCAACCATATCCATGGTCCTCGTGCTAGTTGAAGCATTCACTTCATAAAGTTCCCTGGAATTGTATCTGATGTCTTCCTCGTTGCAGTTCTATTTGGTCTGCAATGGCTGTAACAATCTCTGGCTTTAGTTTCGCTTCAATAGCACTGAAGAATCACAATCCAAATTCGAAGAACATGGTGCATCTGAGATTGTTATCAAATGTGTATTATAATTCAATTATCCTGAACATTGACAAGGATGATATCCTTACATCCCGGATATACTTATATCCCGGTTAACAAATTCAACGGCTTCCTCCTGGTCTCCTCTTCCAAGTTTTTCAGACAGGCCTGCACGCTGTCATTACTTGGGGTCCAGATGTGCCTAGAAACCATGGTTGCTTTTTGGTCATTTCCGCTCGCTATTGAAGAAACCTTATTGCTGAATAAGACCACGAACATGCTTCAGTTTTCCATGTATTTGACATTTGCCTTGTTGATAAGGATTTCCATTTCTAAAAGACCAGGTAAAAGAAGTCATTTTTGCAGGATAATGGGAGTTAAGTTCACTCAGGAGTTTACCCAGCAAATCTGCAAGAAGTTGCTTGATCATGGACCAAATCACTGCTAACTAAAAGACTGCCAGAAGAAACATCATCCCCCAATTTTTCAGATTCCTGTGTGCCTTTTTTTTCTCTACTTGATTTTCAATAATTGCCAACCCCCTCTGATCTTAGAATTCAAGTTAATTGTTATTCAAAGCACTCAGCACATCTGAGCTTGACTTCGCATTCTTAATGTGATTCAACAATCTTTCTTGAACATCCAACGAAATAATATCATTATCCCTAAGTAGGTCCATGAAATTCCTCAGCTTCCCCAAATCTCCCTCCACTTTCAAGTACCCCAAACAGTTAGCTAAAATTTCATTGCTTGGCTTCCACATTCGTCCAGAAACCACTACTGCTTTCTTCATTGCTTCCACGGCCTTCAGAGTTTGGCCATTCTGAAGATACCCTGTTGCCAAATGGTACCATGTTTTTGCATTAGGTTTCCCTCCTTTTGATATTGCCCTATCAATTAATGTTTCAGCCTTCTGCACGAGACCTTTTCTCGAATAGGCATCAATAAGGAAGTTTGGAATATGGATACCATAACAAGAATGATTCTGGAACTCCCACTCCTCAAAAATCGTTTCTGCATTTTCAAAGTCATCTAACTTCAATAGAGAGGTTATGATACTAATATATGCATCTTTGTAAACCTTCTCGTTTTTCTTGTAGAGTTCCCAAATTCTTAAGACTTCATTTGTCTTCCCAGTTGCAGCATATAGGGTGATTAGAGAATCATATGCTGTTCCCCTTCTTTTACCTGTAACTAGTCTCTCAGATTTCTCCAGCATTTTCAGAGCCTTGTCAACAAGTCCAACTTTTATATATCCTTTTGCAGCAGCATTGTACGAGGTCCAGTCCAAGAAAACGTTGGGATCAGATTCCATTTTTGCCAGAGTCTTCTCAATGCCTACAATGTCAGAAACAGATGCGTATGCACTCAGTTGTATGGAATGTGCAAATTTGTCACAGCCAGTACCATTTTGTTCCATTTCTTGCATCAGACTGTTGATTTTCTCAGGGTTTCCAGTCTGATAATAAAAATTAAGGATGACATTGTAAACCAACAATGTGTTGGCAAAACCTAGGCTCTTCATCTCCTGCACGACAGACTCTGCTTTTTCCGCCAATTTTGCTTTGGCATAGCAGTTGAGGAGTGCACTATAAACCTTTAGAACTTTTAAGTGTTGTGGAGTGTTATTGAAGAGCTTCTGTGCTTGTTCTATCCCATGAACATTTGAGATCAAGTCCAGCTGAACAGCGACATCTTGTGATGCAAGTTCAAAGTACCCACTGTCAGTCATCCACGTTGAAATCTGGGAGAATTTTAATCAGACATGCTTGTCAGGAAATGAGATTGTGAAATAATAAAACAAATTTTTTTTTGAGAAATGAAAGAAAGAATCAGCTAAAAGTTTATCCATCAAGTTAAGTATAATGAACTTATTCCCCACGGCCATAGAAGCTAGAATGCTACCATAGTTGAGCTTTTATGCGTCAATTGCCATGAAAGGCACAACAACAGGAAATAACGTGGAATTAATCCAGCATAAATTGCAGATAAAATTTCAAGCAGAATATCTTGATTGTTTTCTTGAATTAATATTACGATTACATATTACTTCCATAATGATATCCTGTGCTCTATCGATCTGCCTTTTGTAGTCGCACATCAGCAGCATAATTTAACATGCAATATCAAGCCATATTCGTCAGAACTGAAAATGTGTCCAAATATCAGTTCATGGACTCCGCCCACCCTGACTTCATCAACCAAGAAGCATAAGCTCTCCGTGATAAGATTTTTTCTGTTATAAATCAGCCATAATCAACAAGTCTAGCAGGACCATATCATACCAAGAATGGGCCATTGACAGCAAGCTCATGCTATCACATTTTCGACTCGGCCTAAAATTAACTATCAGCACCACCACCACCACCAAAACTTGTAGGAAAGCAGTAGTTGCTCTACCTGATAGGCAACGGCAGTGAGTTCCAAATGTGTTGCTAGTGGGATGTACTTTGAGTTGATTGAACACAATAACACAATGTGACATTACCCAGAGATACTTAAAACCAACACAAGACGAACACCCCC